TGAGAGGGAAAAAGGGGTGGGAAGAGCAAAGGGATGAGGGTAGGGTGTTGGGGAAAACAATTGGGGGTGGAAGGTGGGGAAAAAATTAATTGGGGAAGATGATATGGTTTGTGGAAAAAATTAGGGTTTGTGGAGGAAATAAGAAAAATTGAGAGAGAAATGATTATTTCTCTATTCATATTTTTAGAAGGTCTGCTTCTGATTTGGGTTTAGGTAAGGGATAATTTCTTATAAAGCTTTGCTCTGCTTCTGATATGTGAACTGTGCTTCTGATTTGTCATATGTCTCTTGTGATTTAGCTCACCCCTTTACGACGCCGTTTCATTGTCTTTTTCAAGCTCTCGCAGTCTCTTCTGAAACTCCAACCTCCAGGCCAGTGCTCGTATCTTATCTCTCTCTCAGTCTGTTTTCGTGTTTTATATATATATTTTTTTCTGAATTCTTCATTTATGCTATGTGTCATTTTTTTTTCTTCTGAATTCTTCATTCCACCATTACAAGAAACTTGGTTATGGAGAGTTTCTGAATTCTCCCGCAAACTTGGTTTGGTAGTTGTCTAACAGATCACCATTATAGTGAGGATTACACTTTTGCCAAATGTGTCTATTATGGTCTATGTGTGTTGTTGGTTTACCACAAACAAAACTAGCGTTACTCCCGCAGTCGAGCTCTATCTTAAATGGTGATGGCCAAGCTTAGATTGCATCTTTTTCCTCAACCCCAGCACCCAGTAAGTATATGTCATTGTTGTAGCTACTATAGATACACCGATGTAGACGCATATGGTTGTGGTACAAACATAAATGTACCTGGAAAATGGATGCACACCATAGTTTCCAGTGTAAAGTCATGTTAATGAGTTGTGTACTGTTTAGCTATCAATTCATCAATTTCCAATGTCATTATCCTGAACCCAGTTTCCAATGTTAATGAGTTGTGTACTGGATAGAACCTGAACCCAGTTTAAGTCAATCTCCAAAATCAATTCATCAATTTCCAATGTCATTGTTCTTGTATAAAAAACTTGAACTAGGATAAGCTCATCCTTGTCCATATTCAATGTGAATGGATATTGTGTTAAATATAAGATTATGTATTTAATTACAATTTGGTCCATAAGGTTGCTTCAAAACTAGTGGAGCTCTGCCCATAAATTCATGTAAATTGTGATGGGCCACATGAAAGATTTCTGAAGTGCTTTTCACATCCATCTCTACCATTTTCATATTTGTGAGCTGGAAAATTGGAAACCATTCAATTCATTTGCATGAAGATCTTTGTGATGTTGTTGGATAAGGAAATTAAAACTGGACCAACACCTTGTCGGGTATCACATTTTTGAAGACTTGGTCATGGTTTCATGCAAATTCCCCACTTTGCTTCGCATATAAATTTGCAGCTAGCTAGCTCAACACATTGTGGTGGATGTTGTAGCTAGGAAAATGTATATGTTAAAGGTATGATACATAATATATTTTTTCAACAAATATGGTGCATATGTGTAACAGATGGCAATGACTAAAATTGAGAGAGAGAGAGAGAGAGAAAGAGAGAGAAGTCATTTCTCAATAGCATTAACTAGTAATTTTCGATTTCATCATGTACCATAACATTTATCATCATCATCTCTTTGTTTGTTTAGTAGGAGAAAATGTGTTGTCTTTCCTTTAGCTTGATCTAGTTTCTTTTGAGTAAGGAGAAAATGTTCTTGTCCATTCTCATACAGACCTGCTATTTCTCACGAATTATGCTGCAAAATCTTGCTCTTTATGCTATATAGGTCTACTTGTTTTAAACTAATAATGACCTTTGGTTGGAAACTGATCTATTGTGGATGGTAGAATTCTGTCTTGAGATTGGCTAGGCCAAACTTTTTGAACACAAACTGTGAAGTAATCTTTTGTAGTTGTATGTGGATCGTTTATTGGTTATTTCTTGGTTATATTACAATATCGTTTGTTCTTGTTTTAATATATATATATATATATATATATATATATATATATATATATACGTATATACACAAATCAGTAGTTGGTATCGATGGCAAAGAAGGGGGCATCTTCGTCAAATCCTGTAGCTGCATGGAATGTGCACAATATATCTATATTTTGCGATGTTTGCATCAAGGAGGTTGAGGTCGGACATCGTCTGGGCACTCACTTTGACAAAGATGGATATGCAAATATTAGAGCTAACTTCAAGGCAGAGACAGGGTATGATTATGAAAGAAAGCAATTGAAAAACAAGTGGGATGCACTTAAAAATGAGTGGAAGTTGTGGAAAGTGCTAGTTGGTAAAGAAACTGGCCTAGGGTGGAATTCAAGCAAGGGTATCATTGATGCCTCTGAGTAGTGGTGGAATAATAAAATTTAGGTTTGTATATTTATCTTTTGATATGTATTATGATATCATGCAATGTGTATTAACCATATTCTTTCTTACTTGTAAATAAACAAAGAATATGGAAAATTGCGAGAAAAAGGCATTAGTCCTGAGATGGATGACAAGTTAGATAGGATGTTTTCGAGTACAGTTGCTACCGGTGAACATGTCTGGGCACCTTCATCTGGAGTACTACCACCAGAGTCAAGAGAGGAATCTGGAGGACAAATTGATTCATATGATGAGGAAGAAACTGAGACTATGCAGGATCTAAGGCAAGCAAGTAGGAAGGGAAAAAAAAAAGCAGCTAACCAAGGAGAATTGCGAAAAAAAAAGGTTGATAAGAAAGGGAAAAAAATTGGAGATGCTGCAAAACTTTGTGGTCAAATTGACCGTTTTGTTGAAGCTTATGAAACTAGGAGTTTTGCAAACTTATTGATGAGGTCGCTGCATATAGGTAGTAGTATTCCGGAAGTGTTAGCGGTTGTTGCACAATTACTTGGTTGTGAGCCACCTAGCGAGTTATGGTTGTTTGTTACATGTTTATTTTGTTCTGCAGAGAAGCGAGATGTGTTTACCACTATACAAGATCCTGAAGTCTAGCTGACTTGGTTGAAATATATGTTCAACAAAGAACAATAAGAAGCTATAACTATGAATTAGGACATTGTGTGGTTTGTACTTTGCATTAAGACTATGTGTTGAATGTTGCTTGTATTTTGTGTTTATTGAATGTTGCATTATGATTTCTTGTTAAACATTGGATTGACTTGTTCTTGAATGTCGGATTATGACTTGTGGAATGTTGAATTATGTGTTAGGTTACATGTATATTCAATATGAACACCTCTGATGATGATGTTGAGGAGTTGGATAATGGTCTAATTATATGCGCTGTAGCGAGAGTTGTTGAAACATATTATTTAAAATATGTCCACAAAACTCCATGTATGAATTCTTCCCATACAGTTAATATTTGGTTGATGGAAGTACTACAATGAAATGATGTGCGATGCTGAATGTTTAGGATGAACAAAGATGTCTTTTATAGAGTATCTAATGACTTGCAAACTAATTATGGATTGAAAAGTTCAAGGAAAATGAATGCAACTGAAATATTATGAATGTTCTTGCATATGTTGGGACATGGTGTGAAAAATAGATTAGCTCAAGAGAGATTTCAACATTCTAGTGAGACTGTTAGTAGATATTTTGGTGCTATGTTGGATATCGTATGTAAGATGGCAATATATATTATCAAACCGATGAATTCGGAGTTTCATTGCATTCCCCAAGAAATAAGGAGAGATACAAGATACATGCCTTATTTTAAGGTAAAGTTTGACTCGTCTTCTAACTTATTTGCAAACTATAAGTGTAGGTTGACGGTTTTCTTCTATGTTATTATTTTTAGGATTGTATTGGTGCCATAGATGGAGTGCATGATGAGGCTTAATACCACCTCCGGATCAAGTTTCATACATTGGTAGGAAAGGAATACCAACTCAAAATGTTATGGATGCATGTAATTTTGATATGCAATTCACATTTGCTTGTGTCAGATGGGAAAGCACTGCACATGATACAAGGTTTTTCTATCCGTGCTACGGAATCCAAATTTAAACTTTTCTAAGCCTCCAAATGGTAATCTTCATACTTTTATTATAACATTTTACATACTTGTTTTGCATAATTATTACAATACAAAACAAAATTTTCATTTGTCAGGAAAATATTACTTGGTAGATGTGGGGTACCCACAAATGAGAGGTTATTTTGGACCATATAAAGATGAAAGATATCATCTCCCGGACTTTCATAGGGGTGCTGAACCAATGGTCATAAAGAGGTATTCAACCATAAACATTCTTCTCTTAGGAGCATCATTGAAAGAACTTTTGGGGTATGGAAGAAAAGATGGGCAATTTTAAGGGATATGCCTAATTACCCGTTCAATAAGCAAGTGAAGATTGTCATTGCTACAATGGTTCTTCATAACTACATATGGAGGTATTCTGAATGTGATTGCCATTTTGATGATCCCATGGACTTTTGTGAAGAAAATGATAGTAGTAATGATGATGATGATGAATATCAAAATTATCAAGTTGAATGATCACATGAGATAGAGACATTAAGAAATAGAATAGTAACAAGTTTGATGAATGCATCTAATTAGACTAGTTTCAAGTACATTAACAATATTGTACTAATGAATCCCAGCTATTCAGTTTAAAATATTTCAATTGAAGTAGTTTGTCATACTAATTAATATTTAAGATAAAGTTTATAAATATTTTTCTTCTAAAAATAAAATATATTTAGTAATTCACTTTTATTTGTTAAGAAAATTAAATTAATAGCACATCTAGTATTATATCATTTTTTATCATTTCACACAATCACAGCTGTTTTACATAAAAGTTTACTAAACACTATCATACTGCCTTTTTTTTTCTTTTCCAAAAGCACTTTTACAAAAAAGTTTACCAAACACCTTGTAGCTTTATTTCACAACCGCTTATTCTTAGACCACATCCATTTATTCTCACAACAACATTTTTTCAAAGCACAACAATACCAAACCAACCCTAAATAAAAAATAATAAAAAAAAAAAGTTAGATGCCGAGGAAGGCAAAAACACAACTAACTTGACGAAACACAGAGCCCAACTTAAAACACCACCATTCGGAAACAGCGGCAGTCGCCAACTATTCAGGGCAGAGCCAGACGCTGATACCCCAACCTTTCATAACACCACCGACTCTCTCGCTCTCTTTCTCTCTCTCCCCCTCTCTCCCCCTCTCTCTCTCTCTCTGTCAATCTTCTTTTCTTCCTCGAGCCTTTGCATTTCTCTGGGCGCCAAAACTCAGACCCAGAGTCGGAATTTAACGAACAGGGAAGCAAAAAGAAGAGGGATGGCGAAGAAGAAGAAGAAACATTCTCAGGTTGATGAACCCACAAAGAACCGATTACTTAATGCACTCCAGCGGTTCAACGTTTCAACTGATGAAGGTAAAGTTTTATTTTTTATTAACATTAAGTTCCTGGGTTAATCTGCGTGCTAATCAATTTTTGCGATCGATTGCGTTTTAAACCATGTTCGCTTCTGTTGCTTGCTGGGTTTTTGTGATTCAAAAATACCCAGTTTTTAATTTTGTTTTATTTTTTGAAATTAGGGTGCTTTTGATGTTTGTATGAATGCTTTTTTTTATTTATTTTTGAGTAATATGGGAATCTGCTTGCAGTTTACACATTCGAGGCCGGTCTCTCGAGCTTTGAACGAGATTAAGTGCATGAACAATGCAGGAGATGGAGTATGAAATCCAAGATTGAGGGTGAGTGTGCTTGTAGCTATGCCCTCTGTGATTGTGCCAAAATGTGGTTTATTTCAATTTGAGAGAATCTTACATGCTCACATATTTTCAGGAACTGAAAGAAAAGAGAAAATTTTCACCTTTGTTATCTGCACAGCTAGCCTTTTGGCCCTTTTCTACTTGTTTTACTGATAATGAACCTGAACTCTGTATAGGAAAGGGGAACAGCAGTGTATCTCCGTTACCCACCCTGTCACTCGCTTGACATTTTCCGAAGGCACAAAAGAAGTATTAAGTGACTTGTTCATACGTTACCCACCCTGTGCTCATGTGGAGGACTTAGAAGTGTCTGGGAAAAGTAGTGATAAGAATGAGAGCGCCCAGATGGAAGAGGGACACAAAGTTTCGCAAGCCCTTGATGAACAAGGAAGAAATTGCAAAGAAGTGGCATCACTTGCTTCTAAAATAAAGAACAACGTTGACTTGTGAAAGGTTCTTCTGATCTCACCGATGTTGTACCCATATTATCATTCTACACAAATTTGAAGTCATATTTTTCAAAATAGTAGTCTCAGCATGACAAGGTTTTTGTGGCTTTATGCATGCAGATTTTTTAAGACAAGTCCAAGCTTCCACTTATATCCTACAAGGATGTCATTACATCGACGGTTGAATCTCATCAGGATAATTTGAAATTTACATACTTGGTGCTTTAAAAGTTATTAGCTATTTGTAACAAATAAAAGTTAACAGCTATGATCACATTAAGCACGACATTATTTTTACATTCCCTACTTTAAGTTAAATATGTGATAGTACCTTACCTGAAAATGATTGGGTCTGTTACTGTTTACTAGAATCTCTGTTTTGCCTACGGCATTTAACCTTCATTTGACTTGAATGTATTTCGTACATAACTTTTTGGGGCTTAATGTTTGTTCTATGTTTGAAAACAGGTAATTCTTGTATCTGGTAAGACTGGGTGCGGAAAGACAGCACAGGTTACGATTTCTTTGCTTTGTGTTCGTTATGGTATATTTATCACAATGTGTCCTGAACCTTTGTTTCAAAGGAATTTCATTTCATATCTTTTTCTTTCTATTTAGGCCACTCTCACAAATTTCTCTGCGTCTTAGCAATGATATGCAATGAAGTGTATAGTTGTTTTAGAGCTGCAGTTGTTCATTTACTTTTTAGTAGGATTTCTGTTGAAATCACTCGGGGAGTAGCAAGATTGGAAAAAAATTGATAGATAAGAAAAGCAACTTAGAGCTTGATAAGTAAGGATGTTTTACCTAAGAGTTGTTGGTCTAGCAGTCAGGTCCTTGGTTTTGCTCCCAAGTGGTCTGGGGATCGACCCTCTCCCACGGTACCCACCTAGAAAATGCTAGAGTTCCTCGCTCCCCAAATGTTGTGGGCGAGGTAGAGGGCCAAGTGATTATTTGGGTTAAAGACTCGGATACACTAGTTTCAAAAAAGAAAAAAAAAAGAAAAAAAATTAAGGATGTTTTACTGTCTTAAGGCATTTGTGGAGTGCATGTACTGCCCTTGCAAGAAAACCCTATTTGGTTGGTAAGCTGCTCATATAATAGTGGGATTTATCTTCAGTCATGAATTTGGAGGCAGATTTATCTGGTTTAGAGCACTTGAGGAACATGAACACCACTGTTAGCAGGATACTTATGAACTTGTAAATTTATATGTGATGAGATACTCGTACCACATAGTTGTGGGTTGAATGCTTAGACACTCATGCATGATATCTGACACACAAAAAGAAAAAAAGAAAAAAAAACAGACACTGATGCATGATAGGTTAAAATCCAAGCTCCTCAATTTCTATATATGGTACAGTATGCTACATCGAATATATATATTTAATGTTCCTGAATCTGGCACGTATTTAATTGTTTGACCTGATTCTGCACTAGACTTTGGTCCTATAACTCATTTTGGATGATTGAATTGAACTTTGAACTTTGGATGACACAATCTAGACTTTGGTCCTTTTATTGGTGATGTGGGAATTGCCTCATTTATTAGTGACTGCTAAAGGGGATGGGGTTGATACTACTTGTATGACGTGGTTGGCTACTAATGTGGAAGTTAATTCCTGAACTTTCAATATATGTTAAATGAATATGGAGTATCAAGCTAGCATTAATTGGGTATTGAACCTATTGCTTTGGAAAGCTTGATGTTTCGATACAAGGGTTGTTGCGTGTTTGATATAGTCTTGATGAATGATACATGTTGGCTAATTGACACTGAGCCTTCTATTCAGTGGCTAAAATAAAATCTATAAAATAAGAAAGAAATCTCTTGGTGTTTTTCTGGATGAGCCGTAGTGATGACAGAACAATGTAAACCAGTAGGGGTTGCTTGTTAGAACTATGGGGAGATTTGTAGTCTAAAGGTCTTAAATTGAGTAGGACAAAAGTTTGCTATATTTAGTTAGGCTTACCATAGGATTAAAACGGCTCACTTTTAATGTTACAACCTAGATACTTCTAAACTCGCACTTCTAATATTGTGGCTAAATTATAGGGAACTGTTATTAGCACTTCAAAAATCTCATTTGGCGCTCCAAACTTTCTATAATTAGAAAGAAAAATACACTTGTGAGGAGTGTAAAATGAGATTTTTGGAGCGCTTATAAGAGTTCCCAAATTATAATGTTACATGAAAATCTGATACATGCAAGTAGAGTTTGTTGGATAAAGGCAAGACGGCTAGGTAGGTTGTTTTGTGATCAAGGAAACACCTAGTAAATTGCATGGAGGTGAGTGCCTACACTTATGACGTATTTTGGTTGATGTTAACTGTTATAAAACCTGCTCCCATGGGAACATTGGTAGATTTACTTTGCAAACTTCCATCTAAGCCCAGTGGATGTCCCTTTCTGGGGTAAAAATTTATCAAGATTTTGAATGCTTATTTAGTGAAAATATTGATGTGGTTCTTATAGAGCAATTATTAAAAAAAAAATTGTAATGATTCAAAAGATGGAGCCATCCTTGTTTTCCTGTCAGGGTGGGATGATATAAATAAGACCCGGGAGAGATTCTTACTGATCCCCATTTCAGAGATTCTTCAAAGTTTCTGATAATAGCTCTACATTCAATGGTTCCATCTTTTGAGCGAAAGAAGGTCTTCAAACGCGCCGCTCAGGGTTGCCGTAAAATTGTCCATCGAGGAGAAATGGAGCAGCAAGTTTGTATGTGATGAGAAATGGAGCAGCAAACTTGCGTGGCCGGCCAAGTCACAGCGTTGGACACATGTTGATTCGACTTCCAAGAGCGCACGCCAGAAGCCTCCTCCGGTTAATTCAACTTCGAGGAAGAAGCATAGGAATGGCGCCAGGTAAGTGATGATTACAAATGAATCTCAACTGTATGTTGTAGTTTGTTAGATGGGCGGACACTGGCTGCGTAGAAGAAGCCCTAGCAGTGGTGGGTATTGCTGGTGTAGTTTATATGATGTAGTACATGAAGTTGAATCTACAAGCCACTTTGACGTTCCCATTGCTCTCTTATTAGGCGCATCGTCATGTATTCTGTCAGCACATTCATCGTTTTAGATCTCCCCAAGTGTATTTCTCCGGGAAATTTATTTTTGACTACATTTCCTGCGAACGATACAAAAAATTGTATGAACGAACGCGCAAAAAGAACGCACCCAAACTCTAGCTTCGGATCCGTTATCCGAAGACGGGCGAAAGCAATGATTTTGGTTTGATTAACAATTCAGATAAGCTTATACCAGTAACAAGCTTGAAGTGAAAATCTTTGTTAAACGTTCGCAAAGTTCAATGCTGCTATAGGATGTTAGAACCAATCAAATATCAATTATATAATTATATAATAATTGCACAGTTTATTTCGAATGACAATTTCATATCAAAATATGAACAATTAATAAAATTGCATATAAAATCAAAACAATAATCACGTGCTTGTTTATGGAAGATAGAAACTTGCAGTAGCAATCTCCTAAGACAGAAATTCGCCCCTATACCAATGCAAAAGTTCACGGACGTCTATCTTGTAAGATACAATCATCTAACCCAAGTTCTTGCGCTCAAACTTGAATTCTTAGTGAATTTACTATGTGTTTCTCTATGAATGATCAAAAGAGAGCGATGAAATCGATATGAACGTTTATGATATCACAGCCATATGTATAGAGAGGACTTTCAAAAGGTGTATGGGCGACGTGGGACTCTCAGTCCCTCGCAAGTTCCAACATAGGAGACGTGTTCTTGATATATTTCCCTTTTTATTGAATATGGTCAAATTTTTGTGGTTATCTAAAAATGCCTAAACCTACTTCTTGGATTATCTAAAGTGCACATGTACATAGATCAGGAACACGTGGAATGTTTCAACAAATTGGGAATAAAAAATGTTTTACCTACCCTATATATCCTTTAGGCAACGACAAGCTTGTCCCATGGTGAGAGATAAAGGGAGGGATTGGTGAAAACCATAGGAGCCAACTGGCAATCTCACTTATTCACTGTAAATAAACAAAACCGAAAACGCAGCTTTAACTTTATGACCAGGTATGCCAATCATAAGAGAGATTAGTGCGGAGATGCGCCGACCGCATTATTATTGTCGTCTAAACTGAATCTTTTAAATTTTAATCACGTTTAACCCTACCTAGTCATACAGGCCTATCTGAAAAGAAACCAATAAGATTAGGATAAGATTAGTGACTAAGCTTTGCCCCCATTAGGGTCCATAGCAACGTAAAAACAACCCCAATCATGCAGTATTTGCATCCCCTTGGAGATGGCGAAGGTAGAAGATAAAGGACGTAGAATTCCAATGTTAATTGCAATGAAAGGCCACCCGGGCACAGGAAAATCCACCCTGGCCCACTCCTTATCCTCCACCCTGAAACTACCTCTCATCGACAAAGACGACGTGCGCGACAAGCTCCAAGCTCTCCAGTCCCACCACGCCGTCGCTTCCTCCCTGCTCAACGACACGTCCTACAGCGTCGTCTGGCAAATCGCGTCCACGCAGCTCCGCCTGGGCCTCAGCGTCATCGTCGACTCGCCCCTCTCCCGTAGGGCCCACCTCGAGCACCTGACCCAGCTGGCGTCGTCGTGCGGGGCCCGCGTGCTGGTCGTGGAGTGTAAGCCTAAGGACGAGGCTGAGTGGCGCCGGAGGCTCGAGCGCCGCGCTGCGGCTGAGGGTGGAGCCGAATGGCACAAGCCGTCCACGTGGGGGGATATGGTGAGGCTGTTGGATGGGTACGGCGGGTGCACGGAATATGATTTGGGCGATGTTCCCAAGGTGGTTGTGGATACGACGGCTGCTGTTGGATTTGAGGAGATTGTATCCAGTGTGCTCGAGTTCATTGAAATGCACAGTGGTCAGCCAATGTCATCTGAACACGAAGGACTAAAACTTATGAATTGGAATAACAATTAGGCTAACAATTACTATGACAATTATATGTAGCATTTATATATCGTCTGCCGTAAGATTATATTCCAAAAACAAATAATGTGTAAATCCCAAGTCCTTCTCTCTTTTTTATGTTGATTTTCTTTTCTTTTCTCTTTCTAAATTTATGCTACAACACGTTATTCATAAGTTGAGTCAAAGAGTTTGATTATCTTCAATCAGATGAGTATTATGATTCAATCATAAGAATTTTTATCACGAATGGTCTAACTCATTATTTTGGTCCCTCAATTTGAAAATCAATAAATTTGGTCCCTGACATTTAGTGCCGCACATCGATGGGGTACTTCCATCAATAACTCGTCAAATTTTTCATTAAAAAACCGCACTTGACTACTCATGTGGCCTTTTGGTGGAGGGCTTTTACCTTTCCCCTTATACTGTTTCCTCATCCGGTTAGAGAGATTTGAAAAAGCCTAAGTTTGGCAAATCGGGAATTTTGGCGAGAGAGAATCAATTCTGCTTTAGATTAGGACTCTCAAATTCTGAAATTCGTGGGGAATCCTTGAAATTTGGTGGACTGCGAGTAAATTTTTGATGAAATGTGAGCATGTCGTAGAAATTTCACAAATTTGGAAAGCCTCCAAAATATAGTGAGTCGTATTTATCTTATTTCCATGATTTATCTATACTTTTGATGGTCCCAATAGTCCTTCACACTTTTGATATGTGGTGGTGAGGTTTGTGTAGCTTGAGATGGTGTGGGGTTAGTGTTGGTGGTGAATATGTTTACTTTTGTCATTTTGTATTAATGATTGTATAGCTTTATTGATATGGAGTCATATGGTTTTGTATTTTTTTTGTTTTAGTTTTCATTGTATGGCATAGACCTAGGCTTTTGACCATAAGATGTAGTAAAAGTAATACACTTAGATTTAGAGAATCAAAAACTAATGAAGATTTTCTTTACTAATGCATTAATAAATCTTTTGCAGCTGATACTAATAACTTCACATATAAAATTTAACATGGAGGTCAAATTCTCAAGAAGGGAACTAAGAGATGACCCTCATAGAATTTCATTCAAGAAAACAAATCATCATAACCTTAGCTAGCACCAAACAAGCTAATACAAGCTCATCTTCTGTATTCAAACGTTAGCAGTAACCTTCTAATCATCCTTGAAATGTAGTGTGTAATAGCCATACTAATGCAATTTCTAGTTTTTTTTTTTAAAAAAAAACACCACATGCAAACTAGTGACCTTCTCACGGGACATACACTCAATCACACATATGTTTAGTTTAACGTGTTTCGCTCAAAGAATCAAATGTGAAAGATCCACCATAAGCTTGCA